AGGCCCGTGTCCCGCGCCGTGTGTTCCTCTTCGGGCGCCTCGTGTCTGGTGTTCAGGCGTGCGTGGCTGTCCGTGCGGCTCTCAAGCGCCCCGGCGTTTCCGAGCCTCCTCAAGGACTGAGGTGGTCGTTTCTCGTGTAGCGGCCTTGCTGTGGGTGAGGGTGTCGTGTTGGGCGCCGGCTCTGCAAGGCTTTCAGCGCCTTTGTCATCTGGCCCGATGGACCTTAAGCATATCCCTTCTGTCCTCCCGCGTCCCTGTGCCCCGTAAAAGGATTAGTCTCTTGTCAGGTGGTTTTAACTGTGTTTTAATTTAACTTCCTTACTCGTATTAACACAACTTGGCGAGTATAGTGTGTGCGTCTGGTAAAGAGGAGGTTTGCTGACAGGCGTTTTTTTAACCAACAGTGTAAAAACCATTGCCATGGGCCTCATCGACCTCATATGCACAACTGTCATAGTGCCCATGGGGATAAAGAGCTACCAGTGCTACCAGGACCGTATCCGATTGTTGAAGACCCCAGCACCTGTGATATTGTCAAGGCTACACAGTAAGTATACGTTCTGTGTGTTCAGAAGGATGAAATAGATGAGTGTCCTCAAATGTGAACCAGGTTGGGTATTTTTACAAAGGAAAATTTTAGTTACATTTCGTCCCCATAGTGAAAGAAGAAAAAATCACTCAAAAGGTGCTATTATAAATATCATAAGCAATGGTATTTCAGCCAGGTTTGTTAGGTAGAAAAATCCACTCATCAAGGTTCAGCCCAACTCTTTTGGCAAGACTTTGGTTAAGTGCAATGTGGAGTTTGCTCAAGTAGGTACTCTGCTGGGTGATGCTTATTGAGATTTACTTTAGTATGTGGCTGTCTCTGGAGGATCCTTTACAAATCAATGATAAGTAAATCGATACGTTTTTTCCCCATTTAAGGTATGGAATAGTAGAGCGATGCAAAGAATTGGTAGAAGCAGGATATGATGTTCGACAACCAGACAAAGAAAACGTGACTCTTCTTCACTGGGCGGCGATAAACAACAGACAGGAGCTAGTTAAGTAAGCTCTAGAGTCATTGCGAAAGTAATGCAAGTATTCTGCCACTGTTACTCACACTTTGTTGCTATTGTACTTCAAAACAAAGGAACATGCTGCTTCAGAAGAAAAGTGTGAAATTGAAACTTTAATCCAGTTACCTTTGTGAAAATGTCACTGAAATGTAAAGTTACCACCGTTTCTTTATATGTGAAATCATGTAGTACATTAAATCATTAGATTTTCCTAGGTTTGATTTGGTTTGTTTAACAGAGATTAAAGCTGATTTTTTTAAAGTGACTTGCTAATTACTATATTTTTTCTTAAGCATTTTCTCAAAACAGCATCATTTACTGAAAAAATACTCTTTTACATTTGCTTCTCTAGTAATTTTTTTTTTTTTATTACAAGCTATTCACTACTAGGGCTGTGTTATCCTTAGTATGATGTTTTAATGTTTTATTGTATTATGTCTATTCTTAATCTTATTGTGGTGGTGTTATACAGATACTATATTTCCAAAGGTGCAATAGTGGATCAGCTAGGTGGAGATTTGAATTCAACTCCCCTTCACTGGGCCATCAGGTATGTTGCTTGCAACTGCTACTTGTACATCTGGTAATATTAACAGTTAGATTTTGTGTAGCATAGTGGTGGTTATCTTAAATCGAATTCTGTGGTATGTTTATTTTATTGATGTATAAGGAATTTTACAACTTGTTCATAGTAATACTGAAATCTGTTCTCTGATTTCTGGCAGCTTTGCAGGTCACGAAGTTGTGTTATCTGTGTATCTGTGTTTTAGTCACTTGGACTCACGTTTTGAAGTTTCCTTAGGGACAAAACAGTACTGTTCAGACTTTTCCTTGTAAGTCTTGCCTTTCTGGGCAAAGAAGACTTGGCTGTGTTAGGTCACCAAAGTTAGCTTTTGATGCTTATTACACAGAATCACAGAAAGTTAGGACCTCCAGAGAAGGAGGTAGCAGTTTAAGCCTGAAAAAGTTATGGTCATGGTTCCCTCAGACTTCAGCCTGCCTAGCTGGTACACTTTCAGTCATTTCAGCTTCTGCACAAGATTCCCTTGGTGTAGTCTCATGAGACTCAACACTGCCAGTTCTGGACTTCAAAGCACAAACATGTAGCAGTAGGACCAGTGTAAGACATCTTGTTGTTCGGAGGCATGTAGAGAGGTCTTTGGCCTTCTTCCCCCAGTGGCATTAGCTTTTCTTCTTGTGCTCCTTAGAGCTGCCACCACAAACATGCAGTGTCTCTTCCTGGGTGACAGTGGCTATTGGTGCTTGCGTATGTTTAATGCTTCTTTGGATCTGCTCTTTCTACATTTACATCTGCTCTAGACTACATCTGTTCCATCTGTTCGACTTGATACAGTTTAAAATCATGCAACTTTGCCTCCTAGGACAGGACTTGATTAAAACGATCAAAAGAACAAAGCACTGCTCATCTGGAAAAAACATAACCTTAAATAATTCTTCTGGGATAACTTCTCTGAGTGCAAATTCTCACATTGGAAGATCAGTGCTTTCTTCTGGGCTTTCTTACTCTTCTGCCAAACAAAGTTAGATACTTCTTCTGAGAAAGGCTGCTCACAGGAGAAATTAACTGTAGAATAACCATTGTATTCTGAATTAACAGTGTGCCTTAGACTGACTTATTAAGGCATATATTTAATATAATTTTCTGATATAAACTTTCTATCTTATAAGTAATTTCCTGAATAAAAGCACAAGAATCTGAAAAGAATTTTTTTTGTGGGGGCTGGGTACCTGTGAGAATTATTAAGGCAATGCTTTCATTAAAATTTCCAGATTTTTTTGTACTCTCTATAGTTTCATTTCATATATCGTTACAGACAAGGCCACCTACCTGTGGTCATGTTGTTGTTGAAATGTGGAGCAGATCCCAGTCTTATTGACGGGGAAGGATTCAGTAGCATTCACTTAGCAGTGCTGTTTCAACATGTGCCCATTGTAGCTTACCTCATATCCAAAGGCCAGGTATGTTGTTGGTATCCCAAGTGTTGTTTTCTGCTTATGAGTAGCTGCCTGTGTGTACAATACATTTCAGAATTAACTTGTTTTCTAGATGATAAGCAGGTGTTTGACAACTATTTCCCTGTGCCATAAGTTCAGAGACACTTAGATTATTTTTTTTAATGTATATATATTTATATTTTTTAATACCCTTCCCTATTCTTGTCATCCCTGTGCAATTCAGAGTGTTTAAGGATAGTTGTTAAGGCTATGCAGATTTGTGGTGCTGTATAAAGAACAGCTGGCTTTTAAACGTGGTAACAAAAAGCAGTATATGAAGTGTATACATCATGAAGTATTTATGATTTGCTTACAAATTTGTAACTAATAATCTGTGCAATTATCCATCAATTGAAGCATGCAGAATAGATGATCAGACTACGTCTGAATTTTTTATTAGAAATTTCTATATTCTGTATTTTCCGTAATTTTATATTGTATCCACCTAGGTGATGTCTGCTTAGCTTACATCTGAAGTAAGCAGAATTAATGACAAGTGTAACAATTTGCTAATAAAAATGAGATGAGAGTTCTTGTATGATCTAGACTGTTTCTTTGAAACAGTGTATATTAAGATTTAAGGATTTAGTTAAGTTTTACTTTCTTTCTCATAGACCTCTCTTTAGTAGAGCAACTGGCTTCTGGAATGTAGGTGTAGATTGTATATATCACAAACTTAAAGTTTTTAGCCTACGTGTTGTCCACTGAAAAATCCAATTGATTAAACATTTCTTTTAAGTAAATCTGTTTTAATGTAGTGATGGGTGGAGTAGGGGAGGGAGGAAACCTCCATTGTGAAGAGGGAGGAAGAAGATTAGGTAGCACAAGTTAGATGTTTAAATAATTATGTATTGAGATACGTAACCCTTTTTTGGTTTTTTAATAAACCAGTTTTAGGTACTTGGACATTCTGTTATGTATCTCTGTTTACACAAGAAAGATGGTTAATATTGCTTTCCGAGGTACATCTTATTTATAGTATTTTTGTGCAAAAGACAACAAGAAGTATGGTTAACGTGGTTCCCTTAAAAATATCCTTAGTGGAGACTCAGCATATTTTGAAAGGAGTGACATGCAAGACTTAGGGGGGAAAAGTGTTTAGATGAGTGTTTGCTTCTTGGCTGGGATAATTTGGTTTCTTTCCACTACTGCAGTGGAGCCAAGCCTGTTGTATACCTCTGAATTTGACCATCTCTCTGTTTCCTGAAATCACTTGGTTGTTATATTTTTCTTATACTTAGAACATAGACACAACAGACTTGAATGGACAAACACCGTTAATGTTAGCAGCACAAAAAGTTATTGGGTAAGTAGTGAATAACTTCAAAAGAATCCATTTTATTGTGCCCAAGAAGTGATGAGATGAATTTTTTCTTATGAAAACTTTTGTGTTAAACTGACATTCTTTCTCATTTTAGCTGTGATAAAACATGCAGACTACAGAGGTCAGGAGTTATAAAGTAGCTAATTGGATACAGCAAAGAAAGTAAAAAGAGTTTCTGAAAGAAGTTTAGGTTTGCAGCTGAACCGGCTGCAGTATTATTGTACTTTGCCAGAAATGAGAATAAGTGGAGGTGGACATAGTAACATGTATTTAGAGTAAATAAAATGTGGAGATGTAAGCTTATACACAGCGTTGTAGAAAGATATAATCTCTGTATGTACCTCATATTTGTTAAAATGGTAAGATAACATAGTCTGGAGAAAAACCTTCAGGGCAGGTCCTGAATTATAGACTTGATCTATTGTTGATGAGCTTATTCTGAGACAAGGCGTTGTGTATCTGCTGTTACTTCGCAGATAAGAACAGTTTTTTATAAGGTTTTCAAAAATTTCATCTCCAGTGTAGATTATCTTCTGTTTGTTAACTTTTATACTTTATTTTCATCTAGACCAGAACCCACAAGATTTCTCTTAAAGTTTAACCCCTCTCTCAATGCTGTAGACAACGTTCAAAAGAATACTGCACTGCATTGGGCAATAACATCGGGCAATACCAGTGCAGTGGATCTATTGCTGGAAGCTGGTGCTAGCCTGGACATAAAAAACGTCAAGGTACAGTTTCTTCCATGATACTTGCATGTGGCATGAATGGATAGAATGAATGTAAAGAAAAATCTCAGTCCTCTGCCCTTTAGATATCCTTGGGGACAGGGGTTGATTAAGAACAGGTGTTTTTAGCCTTTCCCAAAAGGAGTTAGCATCTTTCTTGTAGTGTGGCATAAGGTATGAATACAGAGATTCTTTGCAGCATTCATTTAAGGAACAGCCAAGCCTTTCCGTCACCCTGAACATAATTGTGTCCTTTGCAGATCCTCCTCTTTTCTTTTTTTTTTTTCCCTTCCTCTTATTTTGTTTTAAGGTGGCTATTTTCTACTTCAAAACATTGTCATACGGAGTAATGACTTTGGCCAGACTTTTAAAAATGACAATGTCTTGGTGTCCAGTGAGACTTTTAAAGACTTGAAAAAGACGCGTGTGTCATCCTGTGAAAACCTGTGTTTGACAATGGCTGTTTGTATATTCAAAAGAGCTAGTCACACATGAAAGTCTTCGTCCTAATGCTTGTAAAAATGGATAGTGAGAAGTATAAATGTTGAAACTCTCAGTTCCTACGGCTATATAGATATGTTTGTACAGTAGTAGTTATTCAGAGTTTGTGTATTAAGCTGTGCAGCTTTTCTCTCTGCTGCTTCTTTTTATTTGTATGTATGACTCAGGCTATTGCTGTTTGGTTTTAAAAAGTTAACGTAAACAAGAAACCTTCCCTTTCAGTAAGCAGTAATGTTCTAGCAGACAGTTGAGTGTTTCAGGTTATTGGAGATAGTCCAACAGATAACTCAAATGGATGCAGTCTGGTTGCAAGTATCAGTTTTTAGAACTACAAAGGACTGGATTAAGCATGTTAAAATTTTGAGTTTCATTTACTCTTGCCTTAAAAAGAAAAAAAAAAAAAGGAGTGGGAAGGGAAGTCACCATTAAGTTATTCTTGATTTAGCTATATTTATTTCTTGATGCTGTTAAAAGGAAAGCATTTATGTGTTAAGTGCATAAAGAAATAAACATTTCTGTTGTTAAAGGGAGAGACACCACTTGACCTTGCTTATCAAAGTCCGAATCGCTTCATGGTTTATATGGTAAAAGAGGAAGAAAGAATGAGAAGCAGAAGAAATAACAGGTTACTGAAAATAGTAGAGAAATACGAGGTAATTTCCCATGTAATAACTAATGGAAATAAAGCTACAGCATTGTGTGTTTAAAAAGATATGCCACTTAATTCTTTTCTGACAAGAGGATCTTCTAAGGTTTCCAAAATTGGGTGCATGAAAGTAACATTCTCAGAAGCGTGTAGCAGTGGTTTGGGTGGGGTTTTTTGTGTCATTTCTCCCAGCCTCTTCGATGTGTTCATGTGTTACTGTCTTACCTACCTCGAGTCAGTGTTATTACATTATCTGAATACTTTTGAAGTAAGTCCTGCTTGAATACTTTGTCATATTTTAACAATAATAATTTTAATAGCTCTTCCTGCTGTTGGCGTCTTTCTTCACATCGATGTGGGCCATAGGATACATAATGAACTTCAATTCTGATTCTTGGCTTTTGAAAGGAGGTCTGCTTCTCTTCCTGCTGTTTGGAATGGCTCTATTTGTGAGGTTTGTGGCTTTTTTCTCTCTTTATGTGTATTTATTTGATATAGACGCCATATAAGGTATCTAACGCAGTATTCTTTTCAGAGTTTAGTTTCACTTAACATAAAAAATACCTCCTGAGAAATGGTTGCAGAGTGTGTGAAGGATTTAAATGTATCTATTTTTTAGAATTACTGTAGAAATTTAACGTCTTCAGGTGTGCAAAATAATAGTTTCTCATCACTGAGAGATTTGAAAAAAAAACTGAAGTTTTTAAGCACTGTTGTTAGCTAATTTTAATGATAGAGTGTTATTGAAGGCCTGCACCTGATCAACACTGACATACCCGTTCACGATGCTCAGAAATGTGCTTTATCTCAACTTTTCCTTCTGTATTTGTGACACTGAGTTTTAATGAACCGTTCCCCTCTGCTCCCCAGACCTCCCACTGTTATCCAAAGCTATTTTGCAGGTTTCCCGCTTTCTTCTGCATCTGCAGCAGCAGTCAGTAGTCATTGAAATGGCAGTGCTATCAGTGTGCAAGCAGACAGAAATTGCTCTTTTCACCTAGTGCTACAGCGCTTCCGATGTATAGTGTTAGGCTGGAACAGGGTGCTCATCAGATTTGTTTTTGCAATGTTAAACCTCTATGCATCTGACTAAAGAATGCTTTTGAGTGACAATTCTTGATTGCTTTAAGAGACACTTCAAGTAAACTGTGCATGTGGAGTTTTTAAAATAACAAAATGGATGATTTGTACTCTATGGAATTATGTTTTACATACATTTTTTAAAAAATACACTTTTTTTTCTTTTAATATTCTTTCAGGTACTTTGTAGGGCTCAAGAATCTGAGGTATCTGCCCACAGCATTTCTGCTAAGTTCGTTTTTTTGGATGTCTGTGACCTGTTTTTTCTGGCTCCTGCCTGATATCCTTTATATTCAAGAAATGCAATAGAACTCTCCTTTACAGTTCCTAATAAATCCAAGCCTGGTCACGCTAATGGTAATGAGCAGCCTCAGATAATTCCATGTGACTGTTAATGTCTGGTAAGATTGGTTTACTTCCATTGGGCTGGGGTGGAATAACTTTGAGTTTGAAGTTACAGATGGACTAAAAATCTATTTCTTCTTTTATTTTTAGCGAATATTTGTGTACAATTCTGAACTATTTCTTATGTTACTGGGATATCAAAACGAAAATATCTTTGTTATAAACCTAATTGTCTCTGTTACCATCTCCATGGGACTCTTTAATTGAGACTCTCGTACAGTAATATGTTTTGACATGTAGTATAACGGCATAACACATGCATTAATAACAATTTTCAAAGCATCTCTTCTTTCTGAAATGACAGGAATTTGACGGTTAGTGGTATTACTGCGTCTGCTTTTGAAAACAACACCATCTCCCTCCGTACCTCCCAAAAAACAGGGAACAAATTTCTTCATGTTCCTCCAACATAGATCTTCCAGTCTCCTATCTATCTTCATTTGCAGGTTACACTGCATCCCCCAGGTACAGAGCATTAATGTCTGCCTTTTGTTTGCTTTATTTGAAGAGGCTTTGCACTGATGAGTACAAAAACATTTTAGTGATTTACACTTGCTTTTCAGTGCCCTGCTTTTTTGTTACACAGGGGATATCTACTTATTTATTAAGGCCTTTAGGGTGATACTTAGAACTGTAAATAATTTGCTACTAAACTGGCTATAATATATTGCTACGCTATTTTAATTAATTTTTAATTACTTCATCCTTTAAGTGGCATTTTCTTTTGTCCTGTTCCTAATTAAGATGTCCTTAATGGAATTATCAGGATTAACTTCGATGAACTGATCAAATATATTCCCGCTGGGGATACATGCATATTCTTGTCTAAATGAAAATCGTGTTTTTCAGTGTTGCATTGTGAAGTTTTAAGGTTTTCTTAGTGTCATCTAAATTAAAAGAAAAAAAAATCCAATGATAGGGGTTTGAGTCAGACAGTTTGCTGAAGATAGGGAGCATAGTGATATTCTTGAAGGTCTAATCATAGCTTGGTGAGATGGGCAAGTGGATAGTTTTCCATTTCACTATCCAAGCCTTTTTCTCATCAATATCTTTTCCTTCTGGAACTGGTTGCTGATCTGAGTGTTATAAAAGTGTTCAGAATTTTAGTTACCTGTATTTATGTCTGAATGAAAATCTAGCCATTCTCAGCTCCAAAAAAACAGTAGAAGTGCTAATAGACCAGCAGTATCCACAAAAAATTGTTTTGACATACAAGGAATTGCACCCTGCAATTGCATTGTAACAAACACAGCTATAAGACTGTATAGACAGCACCAATATTTCATAGTTTATTATCTTGATTTTAATTAGAGCTACTTTGCAGTGGTTTTAGTTGGTAAGACAAAACAACCTTGAGGTTGCAGTACTTGATTTTTTTTTTTTTTTTTTAAGAGTTATTCACACTGTGCAGTTCGTATAGTGGCTGAGTGGTCATTGGAGATGGAATCCAGGCTTGGGCTCTCTGACTGCTCCTTGGTGACATCATGGGCTGTTCTTTAGTAGCCCGAGCTCTCAAGTTCAGTGCTTATATTGAATTGGTGTGAAACTTGTCCCACTCCACATTGCTGTGTTGCTGTATGGAGATAGTTAATTTTGATATGTTTTTCTCCCCCTTTCACCTGATGTACGCGTGTTTTTAGTCCATAGTGTAATAGTTATGTGCCTAATGACTGTATATCCTGCCTGTATAATAGTAATTTGTCTGCTAGAGAAGTTGCAACAAATAACTATATATATAAAAAGTACTAAATTTAAGTCTGCTTCTCTAGACTTTCAGGAGACATGAATTCCCTCCCTTGTTCAGTAATCAACCACTGGGTGAAAGGAAAGGGTACGCAAGAAAAAAAACGTCCAGTTAGACCAGAAATTTGTCATTTCATCGTCATGGTTTTTCTAGTATATTGTAAAGGAAGAAGAGTTCCCAGTAGCTGCCCTATTACTTTCAGAAGTGTTTAGGAGTGTGTGCTTGGTTTTCAAGTCACAAAGATAGTTCCAGGATATCTGAAGTTCATTTTTTCAATCTAAATTTATTCAGTTGTTTTAGCTAAAACAAGCAAGAGAGGGCAGGACTTAGAAGACAGTCTGAGTAAGAGCCTGTTCAATGACTTAGGGGTGTATGCAGCAGTCAAACAAATCTCACAGCTGCTGGAAGCTTAATAACTATGCACGTCAGATTGGTATCGTTGAAATAAAATAGAAGAGCTTCAGAGGGGGGAAAAAAAGTTGAATTCATTTTGTATCTGTTAAATATTCAAAGGCAAAAGTCTGCGCTCTGCTGGTGAGGATGACAGGGAGCTATATTGTGATGCAGGTTTATACAGTTGTAGAAATCTTTCCAGCGCTCAAACTGGACAGAGTATTAAACTTCTCTGATACAATGGCCTCTGAAGGACAGAGAAAAATGAAAGTTATTATTTTCTTTTCTGTATGTTACTTGCAAAATAACATAAACTAATTTTAGAATGTTTTGTCTGAAAAATAGCAGTGATATGAGAATATATATGTAAGAATATATTCCTTAACCTGAATGTTACATGTAACCAACACAATTCTTGAAATCACTGTTGTCTTCAGTGTCGTGGGTCTTTTTTATTATTTCTATAAAACTTGGAGAACTGATCCTGGATATATTAAAAATTCAGAAAAAGAAAGAAAAGAGGTAGGTGAAACAAATACAAGGGCTACCCTCGTGCAACAGGTTTTGGTTGATTTATTTGTCATCGTGTGCAGCTTTGTTAAATTTGAAAGCAGTGAAATATTCTTCCTTTTTTTGAGAGAGAGGTTTTTAGCTCTGTCGTTGAACAACATAGATCATAGATAATTTCTCCTGCTACTATTTGTTTCCTTATCTGCATTATCCTGCCATAATTCCCTTGACTCCATCTTCTCATTGAAATGTGAGCTTTGGCCAGACGTCATACAGACCCACACCACAGATTTTATCTGTGGTATAAATTCACCTAGATCTTCACTTAATAAATAAAAATTTGGTATGGTTTCTGCTTCAGTTGTCTAAGGTTAAAGAGAGATGCTCACGGTGCTTTCCTACAATTCTCCGTGCTCGTAAGCCATTTCTAGACTTCTGTACGTCTTAAATTTTGTCAGATGCTTTGAGGATGCGTATAATGGTTTGATTTTTGTGCTTAAGCATCGTGTAAATCACATGCTGTTTCCTAGCTCCATTTTAGAATGGTAAAACAAAATCACAGCCAACCAATCAGTAGAGAACTTAGTATTTGGTCTCCCCAACCTGTGGATTAAGGAAAGCATTTTGTTTATGATCTCTTTGTTCTCCATAAGGTTGTATTTCTTCAGATTGCTGGGAAGAATAAACTGCAACTTTAACTTGTTGCCGCAGGACTAGTGGACATTGTCTATCTAGTACTTGTAAAGGAACAGTAAATATAGCAGCTCTCCTCATCTTTCTGAAGTCTGGCTGACTATAGGAGAGGTGCCTGGTATTTGAATACGATCTAATTTTTAAGAATATTTAGTTCACATTATTAATTGTGGCAACATAGAGATACTTTTCTGAATAATCCTGCATGAGTGAAGTTGCGTTAGTCTGTTGTGTTTCTCCTGGACCTTTTTAAATAGCAAGTACTTATTCCTGTTCGTGCTTGGCAGTCAAAACGCTTATGAACTGCAAAAGGCCTAAGGTAAAAATCTTCATAGGTGCCCTTGAAAATGTGATCCAAATGCAAGCACAAACCACTTTGTCTTTCAGAACATTGTAGCTCTTGCTGAAGCAGGTTGCTTGGACTTCAGAACGTTTTGCTCATCATGTCTTGTAAGTGACGGTTTGGTATTTGTTTTCTTTTTTAACCTGGCTTTTACTCAATACTCTTATAAAAATCTTTTTCCTTGTTGCTTGTCATGCAAGTGTTATATGCACAGTTTCTTCTATATTACTCACATATGTTGGTTTCTTTTACAGTGACAAAAAAGATGCTTTGAGATGCTTGGAATCTAATCTTAGATAAATAGCATTATTATTGTTGTTGTTGTTGTTGTTATTATTATTATTTCCATCTCTTGTTTGTAAAATTAAGATGTATAGTTCTTATCTATATTCTGTGTTGTGGGGTCTGTTATACAGTAATTGCCCAAAGTATTTTGGTGCCCATGAGATGGTGCTCTGAACTCTGAGCAAAATAGATGCTTTTGCTATAACTGTATTCTTTTCCTTCATCCTCAACTAGGTAAGGAAGCCTTTGAGATCTATGCATTGCCTTGCTTGTGATGCATGTGTGGCCAGATACGATCAGCATTCTCTGTGGATTGGACGGTGCATAGGTGAGAGTATTAGTTTTATCAAATTCAAAAATACCACATATTGAAAAAGTTGCAGAAATAATGTTTATCCCCTTAAAGAGGGAGCAAGCTTGATATAAGAATACACAGTTACTGAAGGAGCTCTGATAGGTGCAAGAGGCAAGTTAGTTAGATGGCAGAAAAAAAAGCAACTAAAATGATTAAAAGGATGGAGTGGTCACCATAAGAGTGGAGAACAAAAAGCCTAGGACTCTTTGAGAGAAGAAGGAACAGGGAAATTTGGGGATGGAGTGGGAAAGCTATGAAGATGATGACTAAAGTGAATGCAGAACTGTTATTTACCAAGCACATCACACTAGAACTAGAGGAGTCTCAGTGAAAACAGCAGTTGGACTTAAAATTGGTAAAGGAAAAAGGTCTTTACAGGGCAGGTAGTGAAATTTTGCAGCTTGCTGCTGTAAGAGTTTGCAGGTATAGGCAGTATCAGAAGGTTCAGAAAGGCATTAGACAAACTTTTAGACAATGTGCCCAAAAGTAAATTCTAAAAGAAATAGACAAGTGTGCACTCTCTGACATTTTAATGCAGTAGCTGTGCATGAGAATGAACTACAGAAAGCAGCCAGGCTCCTTTTGTCCTCCAAAACTAAGGTTGCCGATGTTCACTGTTAGAGGCAGTATGCTGGAGCAGCAGGACCACTGAGGTAAAGAAACACCCTACAGGGTTATGTTCTTGTGTTCTTTGAGAAACTCTGTCTTCATTCCTTTCTGTCTCATTACTGGTGGTGCTCAAGATAGAAAGGTTAGAGCTTTACATCTGTAGCAGTATACTTTTAGCATATTTTTTTTGCCAATAGCTTTTTTTGTGATGTTAAATATTTGGAAATATTTTTACAGTGTTTGGTGTTTACTGGGTGGTGAAACATCCTTCCGATGCATTGTTTCAAAGCTTTGAGCAAGGCTGATTGTAATTTAAAGAAAAGATAATTGTGTATCTTCATGTAACAGTTTCTCTGACAGAAGTCTGGGGCTTTTTTTGCGTACATTTGCAATTCTGAAGCACACAAAAGTCAAAGAATTGAATATCTTAGATTTTTCAGTCATGTGAGACAATTGTAGTGTGCATGGGGCAAGTTGTGGTTGCATAATTAGTCCTCATCTAGCTAAAACAACTGAAGGCATGCTCTGAAGAGAGAAATCCTGGTTGACTTTATCAGAACTAATTCTATTATATAAATTGGGATGGCTTACAGGAGAAAGTTGAGAAGGAGATCAGCCTTGTCAAACTCCCTTGAGGATAGCAGAGGTAATAGTATGAAGTGGTTTTGCTTCTTTTTATTCGTGTTAACTTAAGGTGAAATGCAAATACTGCTGCATTTTAAAATGTCAAACTTTTTTTTTTTTTTCCTTACCTCAAATACAGGCATTGGGAACCATCATTACTACCTATTGTTCCTGTCTTTCCTAACTATTACTGGTGTCTGGCTGCTTTATGGAACTCTTCTGTGTATGTATCCATGAATTTATTTTAATTAAGCTTTCAAGGATGTGTGTGTATGGTCTGTATTTTTTAGCCTTTCATTTCCAGCAAGTGTAATTATATCTCCACAAATGACACCATATTTCAGCAATTACATTTGTGTTGAGTAGAAACTAAGATACAGCTCTAGTGAGATATCCATTGGAAAACACAGTATCAGAAAGGATTTTCATTAGAAATTAAATAGGGAAGCCATGTGGAGGAAGGTCAGGTTACAAGTTCGTTACAAGTTCTAGTCTGGATTACTGCAACAGAAAATAAGTTTGTAAACATATTATTGCAAAGGCTTTATTGATTTATTTGGAAATACCTATATTGAACACTTGCGAAAGTTTCTTTTTGTTTTTAATGTAGTGCTAACTTTGAAAAGAGAGCTATGTATCTCATTAATAAATCTGAACTGTTACTTTGGCAAATTAAGAAATTTCTTGGAGGAGACAGGAGGGCCCTTATAATGTTGGTCCTGAGGACGAATTAACATAGCACTAACCTTTTAAATAAAAAGCAGAGGGAGTTCACTTTTTTTATATTACTTCACATTATATTGAAATGGGTCAATATTCAACATAGGGTGAAGTGAACCAGCTATGGCAGTGGAGGACACAGGATGCCCACATGAACATGAGTTGTTTTCCTGTGTTTCAGTGGTGGTGCTACGTATGCAAAAGGCATATTATTTTCTCCATTTCCTGTGTGCGAAGGAACATGGGAAGAAAACCTCTTTATTGTTCTGCTGACATAGAGGCAACAAAAAGTTGCTCTGCTTTTAGTTGTTTGTGTTTTTTAATAGGTTAAAGACATATGTGGTAGGCTTTAAGTGTCTCTTAAGAAATCTACAGAAGTTCGACATTCCAGTTTATGTGTATTCAGTAGTGGTAAAATACTGCTTTCCTGGCATTGTCACCATCATTTTGTTGATGATAGTGCTTAAGATAAACGATAAATTCTTGTCCTAAAATTACAACTAATGAAGCAAAATTTCAGATGTCTCAACAATGAGACATGATGACTTATTTCAATATTACTAGTTAACTT